TTGAACTTCTTCAGGAAGTTCTTCGATTAGTTCCGGCTTTTCTGGTTTCTCAAACGGAAGGGATTTAATTTCTTCAAGAGGTAGTTCCTCTTCTTCAACTGTGACAGTAGTTTCAGGTTTCTTGTCGTCCTCCTGAACGGTTACAATCTCCGTCTTTTCCTGTTTGTCTCCCTTACGCTTTTTGATGACGCGCTTTTTGACAATAATTTTCTTAGTTTTTCCTTCTTCGGTGGGAACTTCAGTGACTTGAACTTCTTCAGGAAGTTCTTCGGTTAGTTCCGGCTTTTCTGGTTTCTGAAACGGAATCGATTTAATTTCTTCAAGAGGTAGTTCCTCTTCTTCAGCGGGTATTTCTTCGATCGTGATGGTTTTTTGCTTTGGCTGTTCCTCATATTCTGGAAACTGTTCATCGACTATTTCGTCAATGATAACGGTCCCCTGTTGGTTATCGTCGTCTTGGCCTTCTGTCGAAATTAGTGTTCGCTTTGTAGTAATTGATGCTGCTTCTCTTCCGCCTGACTGAGTTTTAAATGTTGTTATTATTTCGGTTTTTTCTGAAACTGTATGGGGTTGTCCATGTTGTGTTTTCTCTGGTGTGTAGTGCGTTGGGCTCTGTGATATCTTGGCATGTACTGTATGTTTTGGTGTGTCTTCAAAGTAACCTGAAAATGAATTAGTATTTTATAGGATGTTCATTGTTTTGGTGTGTCTGTTTGTGTTTTTTGGAGGTGTTTCAGTTGTGTAATGTAAAGCTAGGCTCTTATATCGGGGTTGTCTGTTATGAAACGCTATCTAACTGTTTTGATTACGATTTAGGTTTTATGGTGGATTTTGAATAAATATAAATTTTTGTTTGGTTCAATTTCAATTTGAGAGAGTTTTCCTGCTGTATCAAGGATAATTTACTATAGCACATGATTTTATATGTTTAACGAAGTTGGGCTATTGGTCGGCTACTTACCTTCCCTTTCGTTTGAGTGAATTTCACTGATTTGAAGATTCGATGAAATGTCTTCAATTGATAGAACAACCGTTTGCATAGCTGGTTTGTGCTGGTCAGGTAGTACTGATTCGAGTTCTCCCGTTGACCTTTGTTCTGTAACTAATAATCCGAATTGTTCAGAAGAAATTGATTCTTTTGCCACTCGTTCTGTTGGCTGTTCTTGTAAAAACATACTTGTGTGCGTTAAAGGGACAACATATTCTGTTTGAGCTGCATTCTTTCCAGTAATATCTTGCGAAACTGTTTGATCTTTTGCATGACCTGTAATAACGACCGTACTTTCTTGCTCGGCGACATTTACTTCTGTTGTGTACAGTTCGGTGTTATAACCAACTGATAAATTTGCGATATTTTTGTTGACGGGGTGGACATCAAGATTTACAGAAGTTTCATCGACATATGGTTTCTCTTGAATAATTCCTTCTTGATAATCTTGTCTCTGACGAGCTTTGAGGGGTTGCTGTTGATCAATCGCTAATTCTAAATAGCTGTCCAACTGTGCAGTTTCAGATGCTTGTGGTGTTGGAATAAGTTCGGATAGGGTTTGCTTTGCGAGCATTTGTTTCGGTTGGCTTGTTTGAAGATCTTGTTCTCTTGCTTCTGTCACTGTTTCAGTCGTTTGTAATGATCGGTAAACGTTTTCTGATAAGGTAACTGTCCCTTGCTGTTCTAAGGGTCTTTCTTGGTCTAATTGCTGCTCTTTTTCTTCAAATGTGCATTCCGAAACATTCACCCCTTCGTAAGGAACTTGTGATACTTGACCTCGAATATCTTCTACTTTCGTTTGCTTTATTTGCTCCAATGAGTACAGGCTTTCTGGCAAAAATACTTCGGTAACGTTATGCGGAGTTGTCTCAGGAAATGCGTGTGTTGATTCTGGCAATTTGAATGTTTCTAAATTTTTTTCTTTATATTCAGTTTTAACATCAGTTACTTCGATAGAGTCGCTCATTAAAAATGAAAAGTCGGCAGTTTTTTGTTCAACGATACTTTCATCAAGTTTATGTTCCTTATCGTGAATAATCTTTTCTTCTACTACAAGGGGTTCGTAGAAAGAGGGAACTTTTTCTGCCTTTCCTTGGGGTACAGATTCGTCTTTAAGTGGTAGGAATGTATCCTGCGTGGTAACTGCTAATGTCTCATGGGTCTCATGGGTCAAAAATTCGGGGCTTATTTTATTTCCGGTGGCTGATTCTGGTTGAAAATAGTTCTCCTTTTCATTTGTTCCTATCTCTTTCACATAAATGGCTTCAACTGGTTCTATATTTTTGTAAGCAGTCTGTGTCTCTGTATCCTGATAAGTATATGTATCTTCTCTTTCATGAGCAATGTTTTCAGTTGCTGTTATACTTTCAGATATGGTAAAATTGATTGATCCTTGTTCAGGGGAGGTTTTTTGTGGTTTTAGGATACCAGGAACTTCGTTAATGTCTACTTGAGAAGTAATAAGACTTTCAAAAGGAATTTGAGCCGGCGAGACTTTGCTTTCTATGGGCTTCTCGGGATGAATATCTTCAACGTCTGTTGAAGTCTGTATTTCTGTAGCTTGTGTCGCGTTTTGTTCAAGAACGACTTGTTCAGCTTCTACAGCTGCAGGATGCACTGTTTGTTGCAGGTCTTGTTCTTTTTCCATTGGTATCGTTGTGGTTATGTGTGTACTTTTTTCTTCTGTGAATGATAATTGGGCATTTTCCGGTTTATGCCCGGCCTTATCTGCCATTTTGGAGCTGAGCTCGTTTACTAAAACTTCGGCTGTTTCGGCAATTATTCTTCCTGAAATATTGTAAGTTGCTACATCGCCTGTCGGTAACATCTCTTCCACTAAGACGCTTTCCTTCTCAGTAGTTGTGATCTCGGAAGTTACGAGAGGTACGTTTTCTTCTACTTTTATGATTGCAGTTTTATCAGTTTGTTGAGTGGACGGTACGTGTTCTTGTTCTTTCTCACCAATACAAACCTCTGATTGAACTAATGCTTCGTGCGGTGTTTGTGTTGCGTGGGCTTGGAATTGGTCTGGGGTTTTATAGTCTGCCGCTTGAGGCGAATATATGCCAAATATTTCTGAATTGTCAGCTACTCCTAATACGTCGATATCCATCGTAGCCGTAGATGTATGTTTGGCTTCTTCAGCGTCCAGACTCTTCTCTTTTTCATGAGGATACGTCTCTGTGACATTTTGAGTTGGGTGAACCTCTTCCATTGCAACTGTAGGTTTAAATTGAGGCGCGGTTATACTGTCTTTAAATTCACCTTCTGCTTCCAGAGTATTTTCTTGTTGAACGATCAAGCTTGTTTGCTCATCTTGACTTAAAATGGCAGTCTTTGATTCCGGTGAAAATTTGTTTAAATCAGAAGGAGAAAATGAAATTTGTGTTTCTTCTTGTACAGCACTTTGATGATGAGCATCAATAACTAATGTTGCATTTTTGCCTTCTGTGATATCCGAATGTTTGTAGGGTTGTTCTATTTCGTTCGAGAGAACATGTGAAACGGAAAGCGCAGTAAGGGATTCAATGTTGCGTTCTGCCTGCTTTAAATTTTCGAGTTCATCTTTAACCAAGATTTGTTCACTTTCAGTTGCCAATGTTTCACTTGATACGACGGAGATGTGTGGACATGTTTCGATTGATGCAAGTGCTTCAACGTTCTCGTCAAGTTTGAGAACTTCGGGAACACTTTCAGTTAATGTTATGCTCTGAGATGCAAGCGGTTTACTTTCTGTGAGATCAACATTTACCCTTTGACTGTCGGGTAAAGTTTCTGGAGATAAGTCGGCTTCTTTAAATCCTAATACAATCGACTTTACGATTACACTTAAGTCTTCGTCGACCGCTGCAGTTGCAGTTTTGAGGTCTGTTGACTGTATGTTAAGGGGTGACTCGTTTTCTGACGCTGTCGTTTCTGAATGTACGATGGGTTGGAGAAGAGAATGGGAATATTGCGCCTGAACGCTAGTTGGTTTTTCAGACGTTACATCCGTTACAGATTCGTGAGGCAGAACTTCCGCTTTTTCTATACTTTCTAATTCATCGATTGCCATGTGTGCAGATTGTAATTGCGGCACTTGTTCTTTATCGTATGCAGCCTCCTTTCCTCCTTCAGTAACTTCTAGAACTTCAACGCTTTTGTGTTCGTCAATTGTAAATGATGCAGTCTTCTTATCGAAAGGTGTATCCGCAAATGTCGATTCTTTTTCACCAATGATCGGTTGACTTTGAAGAATACTTTCATAGAACTGATGATCAACAAACGCTTGTGGTTTGTCAGTCACTTCTAACGTCAAGTCTTTTATCGTATCACTGATGTGAATTTCTGTCCTTTCGACGTGCTCTTGTAAATCTAGATATGGTTGGGCTTGTTGTTGGTCTGGTTTGAAATCTTTTTCAAAGATATTTTCTTTTTCGGCTGCCGTAGTTTCCTGAACAGACGGTATATAACTCTCTGAAAATTGAGGGTGAGCTACTTTCTCACTTGGATGCTGGACGTCATCTAGTGTTATTTCACTTTCGCCAATTGTAGTAATCGTTTGAATTAAACTCTGCAATTCGGTTTGTTCTTGCGATGCTTTCCCTTCTGGGCGTTGTTCAATTGTTAAATTTGCAACGGTGTCGTCAGTGTACGTTTCTGTGCTTTCTGCTGTGGGTTGACCAGTCACATCAACTGTAGCTGTATGACCCTCACTGATTTCATCCGGTTTAAATGGTTTCTCTGTGTCGCTAGCTACAATACTGCTTACAGAAATGCTTTCTTTGTAATTGAAATCAGCATGAGCACTTCTTAATTCCGGAACTGCACTTTCGAATATGCCTTCCTTTTCGCCTGCTATTGATTCACTTAAAATAAGGCCTTGTAGCATTTCTGCATTCGGAAGGGCGGTTGCTGTAGCATCTGGTTTTGTGAGATCCATGTCCGTTGTTGTGATATTAGTTGTTGTTACTGATTGTACCGCTATCGTGTGAGGTATAATATCGATAGATCCATGCGCTTCCTGCGGTGCTTGCAGCTCAGAAAATGGCTTCTCTTTATTCATTTCCTGAATTTGTAAAACACTTATTCCTTCTCCTTCTTCAAAATTGACAGTGCTCTTTTTAGTTTCAGGGGAAATAAACTTATCATGAACACCTGAAGTTTCACCGGGTACTGCATCAGTTTGAATAACGGAATGAGAAACGTCTTGCCTTATTTCTGCAGTGTCAGTTTTGGGTGCAATTTTTGCAAGTTCTCCTTCAGATATATTGTGCATAGTTTCTTCTTGCAAGGCCACAGTATTACCAGACACAGTTAAATCTGCTTGTTGACTTTGTGGCACCGTGTGTTCTGATAGTGCTTCTTCTTTATCTTCTGTTGTGGTTTCTGTGACAGATATACCTAAAGCAGGTCTAAAATCTTGTTTAGCTGTTTTCTCATATGGGAATATGTCTTTTGGCAATACTTTTTCCACATCAGTTGCTATAGATTCCGTTATTATAAGTTCTGTAAACGGGCGGGCATATTTTTTCGCTCTACCAGTTATCGGACCTTCGTCATCTAATTCCTCAGCATGGATGAGAATTTCTGTTTCGGCTTGCAGGGGTACTCTGTGTTTTGATATGGATCTGTCAGCTATGACTCCGGAAGTTTGTTCTATTACCATTTCGCTTTCCTTTTCATTAATCATTGGTTGAAGTACTGTTATTTCCGTGGAGGCTTCTTCTAGATCTACGTTAGCCTTTTGAGCGTCTGGTTGTTTTGGTTTAGCAGTTTCATGTTCTTTATCAGCAGTTTCAGTTTCTTGTACTTCAATATATCCCAAAAGGTCATGGCTAACAGCAGCAACACTTTCTGTAGGCTTTTCTTCCGTAATTGATTCAGGAGAAACGTTCGTTTCTGCCTCAAAGGTAATTGCTGCATTTTGTACTTCGACCTCCGGTTGTGCCACAAATTGACACGGAATTTGTCCGGCATCAAACTTTCCCTCTTTTTCAGCCGCTTGATTATCAGCAACTTTAATTCCTTCCATATGTTCCATGGTTATAGTGATTTGTTGACTTTTCGGTGTCACATCAGGTACGAAGTTATCAGGTGCGTCGTTTGACAGAATTTCAGTTATTGATATTCCGTGTGTTGTATCCTGCTGTAGTTTTGCAGTGTCAGATGAAGGAGACACCAGCTTAAGGTCTTCCGAGCTGCTTTGCAATATAATTTCTTCTTTGACAGTAGTTGGAAGAAAATGTGTAGAAGCTTCTGTACTCGTGTGAGTTTCAGGAAATATTTCAGTTTTAAAGTAATCTTCACTTTCCATTGTTTTTTGTTCAGTGACACTTATTATTTCGTGTGTGCCACTGTAAGTGAGTTCCACAGATTTAGGAATTGGTTGAACGGATGAATAATCGTCTTCTTTCTCGTGAGTTTGGGTTTCAGTGATTTCTTTTGCTACTTCTGTGGCAATATCCGAAGTTGCTTGGTCTGTTTTAAATTTCAATGTATCAGTTAGTTCGGATGGCAGGTCTCCAGTTTCAATTTCTGATACCGACAGATAATCTTTTGTATTGATTTTACGTTCTGCGAGAACCATAGAAGGAGCTTTTGGCGCTTCGAGTTCAGATTCCTTTTCTTGAACGGAAACATCTTGTACGCTTGATACAGTAAGACAGCTTATGGAACTATCCGCAATGTTTGTATCTGGTAATAAACCAGGTGTATACTCTTTTTCACTTTCCCCAAGTACAACACTTGAGGTTAATAGCGATTCATTAGTATCATATTCAACTATTGCTTTCTGAGAAGTTGTTGTATCATCAGGAATTTTTTCGTGGGGTTGTTGTGTGTCTGTAGTAGTTATCACAACACTCTTATGTGTTATTATATTTTCTGTTGCAGATACACTATCGGGTTTATCTTTCGTGTCGAAAAAGGTTTCTTTTTCGTGAGGATGCGTTTGTTCTATCGACACGCTTTCCTTGGCAGCAACATTCAAGTCTGCTTTTTGAGAAGGAGGTAAACGGTCCGGAAGGTATTCTCCAGGTAGCTCTGGTGCGTACATTTCTGTGTTTGTTAGTTGCTTTTGAGGTAGAACTGTTTCTTTTGCCACTTCTGTTGCCACAAATGATTCGGGCAAATGCTTTTCTGGTTTAATTTCGGTGGTCACTTCACTCACAGTCAACGATTCCATCGTATCGACGTTGATTTTTGGACTCACCGGTACTATTCTTAGTTGGTCAACAAACTCTGACTCCATTGTATTTTCCTGCGTTTCGGTTACTATCAAACTCTCTTTGGTAGGTATAGTTTTCTTAGCTTGAGCTGTTTTCGGTTTTTCTTTTCCTACAAAATCGGTTTCGTCTTCTGCAGTTTCAGTTTCTGTGATATTTGTGGCTTCAAGTAAGTCGATTAAAACAGATGCTGTAACATCTTTTACATCCATAGTTTCTAATCCTTTTACGGTATGAACATCAAGAACTTGCTTCACAGTTATACTTTCGTTTTGAACATAGTCTAGATTTGCTGTACCAGTTGTAGGTTTGTAAACGGTTTCAAATGATTCCGGCGATACTTCTGAACTTTGTTCAGTAACTTGAAAACCTTCAGAAGGCTTAATGGAAGGCTTTGCAATTGCCATGGTTGGGGCGAATTTTTCGTGGTAGAGCTCTTTCTCTTCTGCCGTTGTTTGCTCTTGCAAGAATGTTGTATGGGGAAGCAGATTCGGAACTGCCTTTTCTTGTGACCCTTTTGTAATAGATATTTCTGCAGTCTGACCTAATGGATACGTTTCACAAATGCTAGATGGAGTTTGAAGCAAGGTTTCTTTTTCGAAAGGAACTTCAAGAGGTGCTATATCGTCAGTCTTTTCTTCATGTATTTTACTTTCGGATTGTATAGGCTTGTGGGATTTGATTGTTTTTTCGATAACCGAAACAATTTCTTCTTCTTTATCTTCTTCACCGGTAATTTTCTTCTTTGTTTTGCGACGTTTCTTAAGTTTTGTTTCATCGACAATTATGATCTCTTCATTTTCGTCTAATTTCTCTGTTAACTTGCCGATGTCTTTGGGTTGTGTTACAATTGCGAATGATTCAGTTACAGAATCAGTTTCGTCAACGGGAATTTCTGTGATCTGTACTTTTTCACTGTATTGTGTGGTTGTAGTAGTCGGTTGTTTTTCAGGGGCCTGTGCAGCTCTGCGTGCAATTTCTTCCTCAACGATTTCTGTGAAAGTGTATATTGTTTTGTGTTTTGTTTAAATAACATGGTGTAACACTAAATTAATGTTGTAAGTATCGCATGTAAGTTTTAGCGCAGTATATAATGCTAGTAAATAGGCTATATCTCAGTGGCATAAAAAACTTAAAGCATGGCACTCACCTATGACAGTTGAAGCTACCTAGAAGCAAAAGCTGAAGCTGATCACCATTAGTTCAATCACATCACTACAAATACGTTTAGCCGCCTGCACTAATAAGCGTTAGCTTGATTATGTATTTGCTGCGTCAATTACATTTAAACACATTTATAATAACCGATCGTGACTTTTTTTTTGCATCCGCATTTACTTATGCTAACCATAGTTTATAAGTACTTTATTAAGATATCTTCAGTTTAATAGATATATTTATAAATATTAAATGAAACGTGTTTTGTTGTTGTTATAAAGAAAGAACATCAATTTAAAACAACAATAAGTACTTGTAATTATACTTGTAGAGTGTACATAATAATATCTTAGACATTTTTTTGATGTCTTTTCTGAATAGGTGCTCAATTAGGTATAAATTAATGACTACTTTACATGGTAAATTGTTACTGTCCTGATTCGGGTCTAAGCGCCATCGTCGGATGAAGTTGTTTTTTAACGTTTCGCTAGTAGAATAGTGAACTTCTTGAGAGGTCCATCCATCTCTGATGTCCGATGTGACCCATATAGATGGAAAGACCTCTGAAGAAGCTCTCCAGTCGTGCTACCGAAACGCTTGGAAGCAACTCCTCTGGACCCGAATCAGACCATCATCAGATCACTAACTGGCCGCTTAAGCCTTTTCCAATTTGTTATAAATAGGTAAGTGTCATATTTGGATTAAACAGTTTATTTTTCTTCAACGTGTTATTTGTATGCGTAAAAGAATGATTTTTTTCATAAAAAATAATCCGTTTTCAGTGTTGGGAAGTAGATTTGAATAAATGCTTTAGTTAAACAATGTACTTACGTACAGTTTTATCTCATGAAAACTAAGATACTTTGAACACAGTTTAAACGAATTTGTATTAATAAAATTTGAGTTGGTACCTAATACTGATGTCAAAAATCAGAATTATGTAACTTCATAAGTATATAAATTATGTTAGGTGATAATAATTGTCACTGCTTGAAGGATTGAAGCTACGAAATACTTTATATTTTATTTTAATAGCGTTGATGAATGTTCCAAATACTTTTCGAATAATTTAAACAAAAGAAAAGACTTATAGAACATTGTTTTACGATTTTAGTGGAAACTCTAACAATAGTCTCTGGTTTACTCTCTGTAAAAGTCAGAATAATTGTTAGAGATTCTAATAAAAGTATGTAAAAAGGTTTTCTACTTTTTCTTACATCATTATCTATTGAAAACTTTAATTTAAATATCATTGATATTAAACACTTTTAGTATTTTGATATATTTTCTAAAATAAAATCGATGTTTGTTCAATAGAGGTACTCTTAATAATGCTAATTATCGAGCAATAACTTCTTTATGATGACATTTTAAAATCCCAATTCGAATTGCCCCAAATATTTTTAGCTATGTCACAGATACAGTTAGTTTTATTTGGTTTAAATGGGCTTAAACTGATATTCAAAATATTTTCTTTTTTAACTTCCAGCATTTACTACTAGCTACCAAATACGGTTTTACAAAGATAAAATTAAATGATTTTCGAAATAAAGAACATTTGTTTTGAATAATTTTACATATATTTACTAAAGGATTGATTTAAATTCAAAATTGATTAGATTTGGAATTTTACATAATTTTCAATATTACCTATATGAAACGACTAAAGGATAATGTTCTTTAAAAGTATACTCCTTGTAAAATTTATGTGTTGCATAATAATAACTGCTATGATTTTCATTTTCAGCTATTTTGTAATAAAATATTCTTCATATTAACACCCTTTTGTGGTAAGCACAGTTTTCATTTTGGTTATCTACAATAAGCAAAAGCTTCACTTAAGGCTTACCTTCTACTTCAGTTCTTTCTGTGATAATTTCTTTTTTCTCTTCTAAAAAAAAGAAAAACAACACAATATAAGTAAAGACGTTTAAAAAATATTCCATGCCGATTTCAAGAAAGCTTGGTTCGCTATTTTGCAGTTAAAACATTACTGATTAATAAACTCAGAAAGCTTAAATACAAAAAAGTGAGCTTTTATTAGTGTTAATTAATAAATTAGTTTACTCACTATTGAGTAATTTGGATTAGATTCTTGTACTATATAAATGTAAACATTTTTAGGGCTTATTAGCCACATGAAACAGTAACACAATTTACTGTTTCATTATATTTGTTGGTTACTACATTCTTATCGACATTAACTACAGTGTGTGATAATTTAACGGCTGGTGGGAGTATTTTATCTTTCAACTTTTATAGGATTTACATTCGGCCCTGCTTTAACAACTGTCTTTAATTACACATCATCATCATTATAAGGGCGTTAGTCCTAAGACTGGTTGGACACGCACCTCCACTCCTTCCTATTCTGAGCTAATCTTCGCATTTCCCTAAGACTAGAACATACCACATCTAATCTAGCCTTTCATGCCCGACAAGGTGTCCTATCAACCTATCTCGCTTATTTCTTATTGACTTCCAAAGAAGCGTCTGTTCTCCTATTCCTTCTAATACCTCTTCATTTCTAACCTTTTCTACTCATGTTAGCCTCATCATCCGCCTATAACACCACATTTCGAACACTTCTAACCTTTTCTTTTCTGCCGCATCCACCGTCCATGTTCCGCACCCGTACAACCACAGAAATTATTTTTTTTGACCTGGGAGTCTAACTATGTACACTGTATCTTTTTGGGATCGCTGAATCCAAATCGTCGGTCAGGGTTTGCACACAACTTCAAAAAACGCTCCAAAATCCACTAAAACCGTTAATTATGATTCAAATGATTCTTCGTAATCTTTTAAACCCCTAATACCTTAGTGGATTTTAAAGTGGTTTTTGAGGCTATATCTAAACCATGGCGTGATTTGGATTTGGATTTATGATGACCATACTACAATGTTAAAAATGTTTTTTTTAATGTAGTATTTCTACAGGTATTAATATTCATATTAGTGTTACCATGTGAGTTTTTCCTTAGAGGGATCATTTTAGCTCACTCTCCCTAACGTTAAAATTTATACATAAAAGGTATGGACTTAAGGTCCTAAAAAGTCAATTGGATGTAAGATTTTGATGGCGCGACGCAGGGACTGAATTAAAGTGTTATCGACAGATTTTCATTGTGAATCGTTATTTCTAAAACATTAAGCTTCAAAATTGATTGTATCATTTTTGACTTCATTATTATAATAATAATTTATAAGTAACGAATATTATTAGTAGTAATAAGATATTTATTTTTTTACAGGTGATACTCGTTTCTCCACTCGTTCTG